GGGATAGTTGCTCTCAGATCATAGGATTGAGACAGATGTCGACTGAGCATAATGTCACACAAGATATTGTGACATCTTACTGTGATAACTTGAGTCTCACAAATGATTCCAAAAATTAGATTGAGGAGTTAAGGGGAAAATTAGGGTTTTGCATGATTGAGGGTTTTAAGAAATTAGTTTGGGAGAATACTACTCAAGTGTATGTATGGTTCCAACAAATAAAGAGAGGACTTCAAAATCAATCATTTCAAAGTAACCTAACTCGCTCCCTCGCACGTCTCCTTCATACTGTACCTTCCACCTTCGTGCTCGGAGAAAACCCTAATCCTGTCAATTCTTCTTCAACTTTCCAGTGTGCCAAAATGTCTCAACAACAACCATCTAAGAGGGTTACCAAGAAGGAGAGTGTTTCATCTTCAACTGCTAGAGCTAAGTCTGGGAAATTGTCTACTGCAGATGCAATTGATGTTGCTCCACTGGCTATGGTGCCATGCAAGCCTGAAAAACTCCCTATGAAAAGATCTAAGGACCTCCCTAAAGGTAATTCTTCAAATACCTATGATGTTTTTCTAAACCCTAGGAGTGAAATAGAAAAAATTTATATTGATGAGAGAATCAATCAAATAGTCGTTAGAACCTTAAAGGTAGGGAGTCATCTCAATGTTGCTGGTATTACTAGACCTCTGGCTTAGATTCTTCCCACCACCTTTGCTCCTGTAGCCGAACCAGAGGTAGTAACTGATGAGAATGCTGATGAGGATAGTATTGAATAGGGATGATCATGAAAGGTCTGAAGGGAATCTGCACACCCTTGTTGACTTTGTGGTAAGAGATGTTGAAGTAGATGGTGGAACATCTCCATATGTAGAAGAATCTGAATCAAAAGAACAAGCATATGAGGGTAATGTCGGAAAGCCTGATGATCAAGTTATCAATGTGGATGACCTGCCTTCTGATGATGAAGTCATTGCCAAGAGCCTCCACCCTGGTATGGCCAAGAGACTGAAGAAGAGTCAAGGTAATGGTGTGGCTGCTGAAAACACTCCTACCAAGAAATCTAAGAAATTTGTTATTGGACCATATAAATCTTGGAGTAAGGTTGTTATTGTGTCTAAAAAGAGAAAGGATGAGTCTGATATTGAGTCAAAAACTATGATGTTGTCGAAGATTTCCAAGACATCATGCATGTAAAGAAGCCAACTTCTAAGAAGAAGGTTGTTGCTCTTTCTAATTCTCCCTTGGACAACATCTCCTTCCATGCACCTGAAAACGTGGAGAGGTGGCCATATGTGTATAAAATAAGAGTAGCTTTGGAAAGAGAACTGGGGAAGAATACCATAGAATGCCAAAAGGTGTTGAAGCTGATTGAAGTTGCAGGCCCGATGAAGACAGTCGCTAAACTTGGGTCCTGCTATGAGAAGTTGGTCAAGGAATTTGTTGTGAACATTCCTGAAGGCTATGATGATGCAAACAGCGAAGACTACAGAAAAGTGTATGTCAGAGGAAATGCTGTAACATTTTCCTCCACGGTGATCAACAGGTTTTTGGGAAGATCAGTAGACCCTCAACTTGAGTGTGAAGACACTGATGATCAGATGTGTCAGGAGATCACATGTAATAATGTGAAGCATTGGGCAATCAAAGGGAAGCTTTCATATGAGAAGCTTAGTGTGAAGTATGCAATTTTGCATAGAATTGGTATTGTCAATTGGGTGCCTACCAACCATACTTCAACCATATATGTTGGGCTAGGAAAATTCATATACATTGTTGGTAAAGGAAGAAAGTTTAACTTTGGGACTTATATCTTTGATCAAGTTCTGAAGCAAGTTCCATCCACTGCTATTAAGCTGCCTATATGCTTTCCTTCCCTCATTTGTGGCATAATTTTGGAGCAGCATCCTGGTATATTGGTGACTGCAGATTATGCAATGAAAAGGGATTCTCCCTTGATATTGCATTATAAGATGTTTGCTGGGAGTTATGTCCCAGATATTGTTTCAACATCTACCCCTACATTTGTTTCTGGAACTTCCAAGGAGAATACCATTGCCCAGTTGAAGGAGACCTGCAAGGATCTTGATGCCATCATCAAGTCAAGTACAACTAGGAAGGCTAAACTTGAATAGTTAATATAGACCTTGACAGCTGAGCAAGACAAGGGCACTAATGATGCTAAGATGGATGCAGCTAGAGAAGATGAGGTGGATGCTGATGATGATCAAGGAGAATAGGAAGAAGATGATGAGGAAACTGAAGATGAGTGTTGAATGTTGTCTTGTTTTTGTGTGGTTATGCAAGGGCTTAATGCCCAAGATATCTGTTTGGCACTTTATATGCTTGTTATGTCATCTAATACTTTATGTTTTTGCTTGGTTATTTAGTTAGTTTAATTGTCTTTGTCATATTATGGGTAAAAAGGGAGAGTAATACTAACTTTACTAACCACTGACTACTGTTGCGCTGCTATGCTAACCATTGAGGGGGGCATGCTAATTTGTTGCTTGCATAAAAAGGACCTAATTGAGGGGGAGTCAAGATGTTTTCTTTTCTGCTTTTGATGTTCTGATGACTCTGATTCTTGGTCCCAGACTATGGTTTTATGTCTGCAAGTTTGTTTTAGTTAGTTTTAGCCAAAATCTGCCAAAGGGGGAGATTGGTGAGTCCAAGCCTTTGAGGTTGACATCAATTTCGGTAAAACTAACTTGACAGCTTGATGTCAAACAAGATGTCCTAACATGAAGATCTAACTGTAAAACAAGATACTTTTACAAGATGTCCTAACAGGATTATTCGACATCTGTGTCTGTTACAGTTTTAAATATGGTTTGAATCTGTTAATTTAGATTTCGACTGCAAAATATTATTTGTTTTTCCTAGGTGGCATCCAAGATTGAGGAATTAGAGATTCTGATTTGAAGATGTTGTTTCTAAGTGCGACGACACTTTAGGAAACTTAGGATCGAAGAAACTATTCTTGAGGAGAATTAGTTGCAGATTCTGTGGAACATAATTGCTGCGTTTTTGAAGCCCAAATCCAGTCTTGTTTGTGGTTATAAATAGGATGGATTTAACCTAAGATGGTGTGGAATTTTTGTATTGCTACTTAGTGTGTATTATGGTTTGTACTTTGTGAGCCACTCTTGTATTGTGTTGATACCAGAGTTGGAAAATTTGCATTGAGTTGTAATTTCAGTCATTGTTGTGATTGAAAGGGAGTTGAGAAGAGTCTCATACCTAGGAAGAGTCTTAGGTAGAAATTAAGCACGAGTGGTGATTAAGAGATAAGTTGTAAACGGTGGAGTTTAGCTTAGAATTAATACTATCTAGTAGATTTCATTCCTGGTTTGGTAGCCCCCAAGCGTAGGTGTGATTGATCACCGAACTGTGGCAATCATCTAGGGTCAACTGCCCCACAATCTTCGGATAATAGGTGGACTTGCCTGTCACGGAGGGCGAAACTGCTCCTCGAAGTGCGTAGGTCAATTATTGATGTGTCCTCGAATGAGGAGCACGTGAAGAACGTAGTTTCCAATGGTCCCAATGGATTGGATCAACATTTAAGCCATCCTCGACACCGCATTGGATTGGGCCGTGGCCGACATTGAGTCAGCCACGAATCTAGTCCAGAACAGTTTTTTTTTTTTTAATTAAAACACACCTAAATTCACATTTTTATACATATCTAATAAAAAAAATTATGATTGGTTCTATCTAAGAATTTTCTTTTGAATGTTGTTGTTACCACACCATAGCTTACATGTTAGATAGTAGTTTTTTTTAAAAGATGGATCGTGAAAAATGATAGATTAGAAGAGGAATGTTATACCCATGAGCACTTCCATAATTTATAGTCTAACTTTTTTTTAGATCAAATAATTTATATTCTAACTTAAAAATGTAATAAAAATAAAAATATTTATATACTACTATTACATTTTACTCATTTCTCTACCACCACCACTTACTCATATTTTTTCTATTATTTTCTCTTAGTATTTTCTCCAACTAATTCATTTACCTATTTGGTTTTTCTCTCCAACTAATTACATTGTTTATTATTAAAAAGTATAATTAATTGTCACTGAATTAAAATATTTTTCAATTACATTGTTAATATTTTTTATCAATTTATTATGTTATTCAATTTTTTATTCATCTGCGATTTATTTTTATTTCTTATTTATGTTTTCTTTCTATTTATTTATTTATTTATTATTGTTTTTTTTTTTGTTGTAGTTTGTCTAATTCATATTTATCTTTAATTTTGAATACTATTATTTATTTATACAAGATAATTTGATTAGTAAAAAATTATTAATTATGAATTTTTTTTCTATAAGTTTTACACTTTGCAAATTTTTATTATTTATTACTCTATAAATATTTTCTTATTTTTTAATTTTAATAAAAATATTTATTTTTATTTTTCCATTATAGTAAAAAAAAAGGATTAATATATGAATTTCTTTGTCTACAATTTTTAAACTTTTCAAATTTATTATTTTTTACTCTTTAGATTTTTTCTTATTTTCTAATTATAATGAAAATATATATTTTTTTTATTTTTCCATTATATAAAACTATAAATGATTGATATATTTTTATTAAAAACTATAAATAAAAAATATTTAAATTATTTTTTAACTATATTTTGTAAAAATAGACACCTTAAGGCTAGAAACTTCCCCTTGCACAGCTTTCCATTGTGCTACATTCGGCAGAACCAAAAGATACGTAAGCGACTAGAAAACCTTAAATTTGAATAAAATTGGAATCGGAGAAAAGTATCAAAAAGCCACAAAGTTACAACTCACACTGTTACAAATTATTATGAGAGATAAAGTATTGTATTATAATATTGATGATGTAATGAAGGGACAAATGAAACCAGGGACCACAAATCTGAACAAGAGAAGCTGAAATTTTTGGTCGACATGATATAATAATATATAAGCATTGATCACTGACCTTACTTGATATTGATAAATTCCTTTGCTATGATGATGCATCAGTTTGTTGCAGTTTTATTGCTAGCACTTTCACTATTCCTTGTAGCTGCTAGTGCATTGACCAAGAGTGATTTCCCTCCTCACTTTTTGTTTGGTGCTTCTACTTCAGCTTATCAGGTTCTCCTCTCTTTCTCTCTCTAACCACATATCCTCACGTTGTTTTAAGTCATCTTTAAGTTTTTGACAATTAGACACGCTTCAATCATGATAAAATAGCCAGAGACTATTTAATCGCAGTTTAATAGTGACATATTTTCTGATGAAATGTTTCATAGAAATTTTTGATTTGACTATTGGATTTGTAAAATTTAATATCTATGGTCCTGTGTTAAACACTTTTTTTTTGTATTAATTATTGTATTTTGGAATTGGGCTGATATGAAGGTGGAAGGTGCAGCAGATGAAGATGGCAGGAAGCCAAGCATTTGGGATACCTATGCACATGCTGGCAATGGTGTAATTTTTGTTTTCTATAATTTACTCAACATTAATTAGCATAGAACGGCCGCGGCCCTGTAAAGAGTTCTGTGATTTTGGTCAATATAGGTGTTACGACACTGATTGCAATCGTCATGATATGAATTAATCACAATTTATTCTTTATCATAAGAGTAGTAAATAGTAATATTAGTATCGGCATCTTCTGATACTGTTTGTTACGGTTGTATGAACTGTTTTTTAAACCTTCATAAAAATTTCATGTTATTTACAACATAAGTTGATTTAGTTATTCTTGTTATGTAGTCCTAGTTCAAACAATGACATTCTTTACTTTAAAAATTTACAGCAGGGGCATACGAGGGAAATGGTGACATTGCTTCTGATCAATATCACCAATATAAGGTCAGTAGATATGGAATATAAAAAATCTCTCATTTTTTACCTATTAAAAGAATGGCATGTTACTATCAGTACACATGTGCTTTCATTTCTTGTAGGATGATGTTGAACTCATGGCTAAAATGGGATTAGATGCCTATAGATTTTCCATATCATGGTCAAGACTTATTCCAGGTACAATCTAGCTTAATGAAGCACAAACACAAACACACAGATACCAGACACGACATTGAAATGTTGACACTAAAATTTCTGAAAACATTTATCTGACACATTGGTGCTACATACTTACAAATGATAGTTTCTAGTATGAGACATCAATAGATTTATAGGTTCATACAACAAAGTGCAACATTGTTTTGTTATTCTGACATTGATCTCATTTGATTTAATACCAGACGGGAGAGGGCCGATAAATCCTAAGGGATTGGAGTATTACAACAACCTCATCAATGAACTAACAAGCCAAGGTTCTTTTGTAAACTAGCAGTATAACCATTATTTGAAAAACTGAGTTCCTTCCTAATTATATAGTTATTTGTCTTTTCCCCCTTCATTTGTAGGTATCCAGCCACATGTGACATTGAATCATTGGGATTTACCACAAACACTTGAAGATGAATATGAAGGATGGATTAGTCGAAAAGTCATGTATGGTTCCCAATTACAAATGCCTAGTAACATGACCGTCTCGTGTTAGATAAGAGTTCAAAGTTTAAAGAAAAAACCACATTTAATTAAATCTGCATGTTTATGTTTCTTGTAGAAAAGACTTCACAGCATATGCAGATGTATGCTTCAGGGAGTTTGGAGATCGAGTTAAACATTGGACGACAATGAATGAGGGGAATATGTGTTCCATGATGGGTTATGATTATGGAGTTGTACAACCTCAAAGGTGTTCTCCTTCTATATTTAACTGCTCCAAAGGAAATTCTTCAACAGAACCGTATTTGGTTACTCATCATATGTTGTTAGCACACGCATCAGCTGCAAATCTCTACAAGAATAAGTACAAGGTACACCAATCTATGGCACATGCACCGCTTTTCTTTTTGGAGCTTTTTTTGGAGAGCTTACACAATCACGATATAATATATGGTATTTTCAGGTCAAGCAGCAGGGATTTATTGGGTTTAATATCCTTGTTCAGGGATATCTACCACTAACAAACACCAGCGAAGATGTAATCGCCACTAAAAGAGCCCAAGATTTCTTTATGGGGTGGTAAGTAACATTGTGATTGTGTTAGAGTCATCATAGAGACTCTGCATAGGACTCAAAATATCATGTAGGATACTTATATCCATGGATATTTCCACAAACATCGGACGCCCGAAATTTCTTTGATTTGTTGTGACAGGTATCTGAATCCCTTTATTTTTGGAGATTATCCGGCCGTCATGAAAAAGAATGTTGGCTCAAGGCTGCCTTCCTTCACTAGTAGGCAATCAAACCTCGTCAAGGGATCAATTGACTTCCTTGGAATCAATTTTTACCATGCATTTCATGTTAAGAACAATCCTAGCAGCCTGCAGATAAAGAATAGAGACTACATAGCTGATAAGGCCGTGGAACTTATTCGTAATATTTTTTATTTCTATACTATTTCTAAAACCAAACTAACCGTTATATTGTCTCTAATTTTGATGCAAACTAGAAACTTTTGTAGGCCAAATCAGTGTTTGGTAATCCAATTTTGAAGAACTTTCGTATATTAACATATTTTTCCTGATGCAGACATACCTGCAAATAATACCTTCCACGATAAGGTAAAAGACGAGTATGAACATCGTGGTTCCATTTATTCTTTGAGGGTTGATGCTTCAATCTATTCCACTTACTACCTTATTGGTTTGTTTAGATTCCAATTACACCCTGGATTTTGGAACGAATGCTTCATTCATTGAAGAATGATTATGGAAATTTTCCAATTTACATTCACGAAAATGGTATGATGAATCTTTCAGAAACATCGATCCAACGAACCTAGTCTTTTTGTGCTAGTACTGTCATCAATAACATCAAAATGTTGTCGAGCTATGACGAATCTTTGAACTTGTATTCAGGTCAAACATTACCTACGAAATCATTAGACGACCAACCAAGGGTGGAGTATATTCGGGAATACATAGGGAGCCTGCCTGATATGTTGAGGTATCTCTAGTTTTATTGTGTTTTATATCTTAACGTGATCTTCATTTTCAATATTCCTTTAGTTCTTCTATTCTACTTGATATTGTAGGAATGGACTCGATATAAGAGGCTATTTTGTATGGTCCTTCTTGGATGTGTTTGAGTTAGAAAGTGGATATGAATTCGGCTATGGCTTATATTATATAGATTTTGAAGATCCAACTTTGAAGAGAAAACCTAAACTTTCAGCTTTGTGGTACTCAAATTTTCTCAACAACAAAACTATGGACATTGACTCGGAGATCACCATGAAAATTGAGGAGAATTCATCTGTACTCTCCAAGAATCCTTTAATGCATATTGCCACTTAGGTAATCAAGATAGAACTAGTTAAAATAAATGTTCTCTCTAGTCTCCATTTTTTTTTTAATTCTGCTTCTTTATGTGATTAAGTGAGAGAAAGTGACATAAGTTATGGTGTGTAAACTTATTGTAGAAATATATTTTATATTTCCTTGCTTTGATGAGAATTACATGTGTTGTACAAACAGAATTATTCTGTATTGATTGTTCCATACTCCCCCCTCAATCTGGGTGGTAGATGTCTATCATACCCAGATTGAATATGATATTCTCGTACATGTTCTTTGGAAGGGCTTTTGCTAGAATGTCTGCAGTTTGCTGGCATGATGAAATATGGTTAACACTTATAATTTCATGATCAATTTTCTCTTTGATGAAGTGTTGGTCTATCTCTACATGCTTTGTTCTATCATGTTGTATCGGGTTCTTCGCAATGCTAATAGTAGCCTTGTTATCACATAATATCTTCATGGGGTGATTGTTAGGAATTTTGATCTCATCTAGCATTCGCTTAAGCCAAATTCTTTCACAAATACCTTGTGACATAGCTCTGAATTTTGCTTCTGCACTACTCATAGCCACAATAGATTGTTTCTTGCTTCTCCAAGTTATCATATTATCCCATACAAATGTGCAGTAGCCTGTAGTTGATTTTCTATCAGATAAACATCCTGCCCAATCAGAATCAGTGTAAATTTTAATACCTCTGTTTGAGTTCTTTTGAAAATAAAGTCCTCGGTCTGGCTTACCTTTCAGGTACTAGAGAATTTTGTTCACATTTCTCATGTCAGTTTCAGTTGGATTTGACATATAACAACTAGTCGTGCTTACAGCAAAAAAGATGTCTGGTCTGGTATGAGTTAGATAGATTAATTTTCTGACTAGACTTTGATATCTATCTTTATTAGCTAGTACATTTTCATCTTCACTCCTTTTTACTCGTTCTATGGGAGTATTGACAGTTTTGCATCCAAGCATACTTGTTTCTTGAAGTAAATTTAGAGTGTACTTCCTTTGAGAAATTAAAATACCATTCTTTGTTCGTGCAATTTCCATCCCTAGAAAATACTTGAGTTGTCCTAAGTCTTTGACTTCAAATTCTTTGGCTAGAAGTTTCTTTAACTGGTTGACTTGTTCATCATCATCTCCCGTAATTACGATATCATCAACATAGACAATAAATAAAGATATCTTCCCATCCAAAAATTGTTTGACAAACATAGTATTGTCTGTTTGACATTGAACAAAACCATCTTGCTTGAAAACTTTTGTTAGTCTGTCAAACCATGCCCTTGGTGATTGTTTGATGTCATATAGAGATTTTCGAAGTTGACACGCCATGTTGGAGGTTCCAAGTGATTTAAGTCCCAAAGGAATTTGCATATATACCTCTTCTTGTAACTCCCCATTTAGAAATGCATTCTTTATGTCTAGTTGGTGTAGGGGTCAATCTAGATTTGCTGCCAGAGATAGTAGGACCCGAACAAAATTGAGCTTTGCAATAGGTGCAAAAGTCTCTTCATAATCCACCCCATATGATTGTGTGAACCCTTTAGCAACCAACCGGGCTTTGTACCTGTTTATACTTCCATCAGCATTGTGCTTAATAACTTTCTTCCCTTTTGGTATAGCAGTGATCTCTCATGTGCCATTTCTTAGTGCTTGAACTTCTTCTGTTATAGCTCCTGCCCATTCAGGTTTCTGCAATGCTTGTTGAATATTATTTAGAATTTCTATGTTGTCAGCAGCTACTACAAAGGACCTGTAACTTTGTAATAGTTTTCCATAGGAGATATATTTTTCATTAGGGTGTTTAGTGCAAGTCCTAACCCTTTTTCTCATAGCAATAGGAATATCAATAGTTGTTGTATTTATATCAAACATGTTTAGAGTTAGGAAGAATATTACCTATGGGAACTTCATTTTCTAGAGTATGGTCTGACTCATGGCCTTGCATCAGAGCTATACTTGACTCTACTTCATTCCTCTTCTTTTTATAACATAAACCCTTCCACTTGCTTGTTTTTGGATTACAATTTTGTTGAGATGTGGTTGAGACTATAATTGGTCATGTTTCTGTCACAACTCCTATTGTCCTTTCACTCGACTAAATGTTAGAGGTTTGGTTTGGCAACTATTCAACTGATTTAGGTATAGGTTCGGCTAATTGAGTGTTACTGGTTTGGTCTGGTAAGATTTTGTCATATTTGGTTAGTTTAAGAGACAAAAGTTAGTATTCTGAATTTTTGAAAATTTCGATGTATGATTGCTCCTCTTGAATACCAATTTTGGTGTAATAGGGTTTATTTTCAAAGAAGGTTACATCCATAGTGTGGTAAAAAAAATTGGTATGGGAAGAGTAACACCTACATCCCTTTTGGTGAGGAGAGTAACCAAGAAAAATGCATTTGATGGATTTTGGGTCTAATTTACTTCAACGAGGGTTGGGGTTATGGACGAAAGTTGAGCATCCAAATACTTTTAATGGAATGGAGGAAAATATTTTATTGGTTGGAAATAGGTTTTGAAGTGTGGAGAATGAGGTCTTAAAGTTAAGGATACGAGAGGGAGTTCGATTTATAAGGTGAGTTGCTGAAAGGACAACTTATCTCCAAAAGTGTTGTGGGACATTTGTGGCCAACATAATTGATCTAGTCACTTCCAAAAGGTGTTTATTCTTCCTTTCTTCTACTCCATTTCGTTGGGGAGTGTCCACACACGAGCTTTGGTGAACAATTCAAACCTTTTGAAGATATGAATTTAGAGTAAGGTTGTAATACTCACGATCATCGTCGGTTCTAAGTATCTAAATATTGCTTTGGAATTGTGTTTGTACCATCTTATGATAAATTTCAAATATTCTCCCTACTTCCGATTTTTCCTTCATTAGAAACACCCAGGTAACATGTGTGTGATCATCAATAAAGGTGACAAACTATCTTGAGTCTGTAATGTTGTGGACTCGTGATGGTCCCTATACATCACTATGAATTAATGAAAAAGGTTTGGAGGGTTTATAGGATTGGGGTGAATAATGGTTTCGGGTATGTTTAGACAATTGGAAAATTTCACATTGAAAATGTTCCTTGTTTTTATTGAATAAAGAGGGAAACACCTTTTCCAAGTATATGAAATTTGGGTGGCCTAATCTATAGTGCCACATCATTATAGGATTATTATCATTTGAAACTGCAACTGCAACATGATAATTATTCTAGAGTTTTTCTTTTGATTTTTCCACTTGAAGGAGGTAGAGTCCAGCACACTCTTCAGCATTGCCAATCGTCTTCCTGAACTCCAAAATCTGAAATTCACACAAGTTAGGGAAGAATTTAGTAACACATTTCAAATCTCTTGTAATCTTGCTAATAGACAGCAAGTTACAATCCAGTTTGGGCACATACAAAACAGAGTAAAGTGTAATATTTGGTGAAATGATAATTGATCCTTTACTCATGACCTTGGAAAGTGTACCATTAGTTATTCGAACATTATATTTATAAGGACGTCGAGAATAACTACTAAACATAGTAAAGTCTCCAGTCATGTGATTTGAAGCCCCTGAGTCAACAATCCATGATTTTGTTTTTTCCTTAATAGTGTTTAGAGCATGTAAGTAATTACCTCTTTGAGCCACTATAGCAGTACCACCTTTTTTCTGCAGTTAACATGGTTTGCTGAAAGAGGTTTTGAAGAGCCTTCATTTTTTTCTTTGCTAAAAGAGGATGAGTTATAGTATACCTCATTTTCTTGATTGTTACATGATGTGTTGCCTCTGCCCTCCTTGCCTTTGAACAATTTGGCCTCTGAATGTATTGTCCAACATGTTTTCTTTGTGTGGCCTAGTCTCTTGCAATGATCACACTAGGGGTGGGTTTTCTTCTGTGGTGGCCGATGTTGATTCCCTCTTGTTGCCGTTGCAGAGCTCTCGCTGTACGGAACTGAGTTGGGTGTCCCCAACATGATTTTCCTCTTGCTTTCTTCCCTTTTCATTCTGAAAAGGCTTCTCGAATTTTGAGAAGTTGTTTGGTTCCAAGAATCCTTCCACGAACTTCATCTAGGTCCTTGTTTAGTCCCAATAGAAATTTGTAAATCATATCTTTTTCCATCAGTTCCTTATACTTCTTTTGATCTTTTGTACAACACCATGCAACCTCTTCATATATGTCGAGTTGCTGCAAGTGTTTGTTAAGTATGTTAAAATAGTCAGTAATAGAAGATTCTCTCTGTCGAAGGTCATGAAGAATGCTTTTTATCTCAAATACGATAGATGTATTATCAACATTTAAGTATGTTTCCTTCACTGCATCCCATATTTCTTTTGCAGTTCCATAGAACATGAAATTTTCACCAATTTCATTTGTCATGGTTTTGAGCAGCCATGACATTACTTGGTTGTTCTCAAGTTTCCATTTCTGAAAATTTTTCTCCTTTCTCGGGACATTTAGAATCTCATATGGTGTAGCCTTCCCTTCCTTTTCCTTCGAGGAAGATCTTGACTGACCTTACTCATTGGGTATAGTTTTGACCATTTAATTTATGGCCCGTGATGAGGTGAGTGAGTCATTCATGTGAACTGGTCGGGGATGAGCTAGTCTCCATTTTGAGTGATTCATCAACTTTGGGATCCTCCATAGTTTGGCGGCGCTAAGTTAGGGATGGTTCAGATCATGCTCAGATACCATGTATAAATATATTTTATATTTCCTTGTTTTTATGGGAATTACATATGTTGTATTTATAAAATACACAAGGCAGGATTTGAAAGAGACATCTAGAGCCTGCTAAGAGGCAATTCTTTCTTCGTCGTGCTTTACCCGGTTGACCCACTGTCTTCCGGCGAGAAATTTTTTTTTGCAAACCGTGTTGTCACTCCGGTTTGCCTCACTTTTCAAAATTCTCCGGTCATAACCGCATAGCTGCCGCCGTCGTTGCTATTCTCAACGACCTTCCGGCAAACTTTTTCATCGGCAGAAACCTCCACACGTGCCACCTCCATCTCTGCGCG